CCTAGCGGCTCCGCCTTGCGTCTCCCGAGTCATCAGTGAGTAAGCCGGCCCGGGAGAAGGCTTTTAAATTTTATATTATTTTATTTTTGCCTTTAAAGGCAAACGTCCTGGCAGTCTGGCGAAAAGGGCTGCTGAGTCAACCGCAGCTGATGCGAGGGGGACTGGCCGGGGCTGGGATGCAGGAGTCCCAGACCGCAGGATATTTTGCAACTCAAATCCTCCGAGGCTGCAGGTAAACACGGGGTTGGACTTCCTCGAAGGCCTGATGGGCCAAGCAGGACAGCTTTTTGTGTTTAATATTTTCGCTCTCATTTGCACACCTGTTCAAACCACCTGCTCCTAGAGAAGTTTTCTGCTTTCCTTCTTTATCCTTTTGCGTCCTCCTCTGCAAGATCCCTCAGGGCCACCACGCACTCCCTGACGCTGGGGGCCACCGGAGGAACACATCCCTCCTCTGCTCTCTCCTGAGCACCAGGCTTGTCTGTCCAGCCATCTCCAGGACAGCCTCTTCACGTGCACAGGGACCTGGCACTGCCCATGTTTAAATCTAAACGCATCATCGTCCCCTACCCCTTCTGGACCCCACTCCAGAGATGGCTCCTCTAATTCACCAAATTATTGATTTTTTTCCCTTTGCCCTGAGCTTTCATATAACTCAACAGGCACTGTTACTAATCTTGTCATTATTTAAAATTTTGGTATTTTGTCATCATGGGTTTTTTTCCTTTAATTTTGGTTTTTAGAAAATATTGTGTAAAATACATTATTTATCTTTATGACTGAGCTTTTGGCACCCCTTTAAATCTTCCTGGGGATATGAGTGCCTCACTTGCCACACCCTAATTCTGACCTGACTGGTAATGTTTTGTAATCAGGGTGCTGCTCACACGGGTGTGTTCGGTTTGTCAAAATTCAGCGAGCTGTACACTTCCAATTTTTGCACTTTTCTGTATGTATATTATGCTTCATTTAAAAAATTTATTATTTTTTTTACTTAAAATATCCCTCTCTGGTTTCAAGGGAATGTCTGCTGTCTGCTTCTTCTAGCTAGCATCCCCAGCACCAAAAAACAATCTGGCATACACTGAGACTCCGTACTTACTTGTTGTTGTTTTTTAAAATATGTTTTTATTGATTTTAGAGAGAGGAAGGGAGAGAGAGAGAGAGAGAGAAACACCGATGTGAGAAAGAAGCATCAATCAGTTGCCTCCTGCACACACCCTGACTGGGACCAAACCCATAAACTGGGATTCGAACCAGTGACCCTTTGGTGCATTGGACGATCGCTGCTCTACCAATTAGGCCACATTGGCCAGGGCTCAGTACTTATTTGTTGAATGAATGAATGAATGAATGAATACAATATTATTTCAGTTAATTTAATCCCCACAAAAACTCCATGAGTATTTTGCTCTCCTTTTTCTAAAATGAAACACTGAGATTCAGGGAAGTGAAGTAATTTGCCAAGGTTCACACAGGTAGTAGGTTTGAGTTCTAGCACCTCGATTAAAAAAATAAACAAAAACTGACCAGCAGTGTACCTGGGTCTGGCCTTATCACTTAGATTACAATTATTTGAGCTGTATCTTTCTCTAGATAATGACTTCCTTGGGGCAGGGACTCAGGCATTTCTGACTTTCTTCTTCTAGCTACTTGCTTAGCACAAGGGAAAGGCTATGAATGTTTAAATGAATGGAGCAAAGAATGAATGAATGAGGCCAACAGTGATATGTGGGGGTTAGAGCACAGTTTTGAAGACAGATCTGCTAGCTGTGTGTCTTTGGGCATATTGCTTAGCCTTTCTGAGTCTCAATTCCCCCGCCTATAAAATGGAAATAATATCAGTATCTCCCTCAAAGAATTATTGAGACTATAAAGGAGAAAATGACTGTTGAGTGACAGGCATATAATAGATACTTGAAAAATGGTAACTGTAGTTTCTAGTGTTTTACATTTTCAACGCCTATTTACATCAGGGTGGCAGGGATCTGTCTCTTTCTATTTCCAGGTATTGTTTTCTGGGGGTCTCTGGAGGAGGAAGGAGGGGACCTGATGCAGCTCAAACTGGTCAAGAGAGCAAGTGCTGGAATAGTCCGGAAGTCTGGCCCAGCTCCTCACTGCCAGTGGTGCCACCGTTGATGAGTTGCTTCCTCTCTGCGAGCCTCAATTTTCTCTCTGTAGGATGGGGCTCAGAAAAAGCTTGATCATAATTATGGGGCTCTGTGGAGGGTCCAATGGCATGTTCCTGGGCCTAGCACACAGTAGGTCCTTTATAACATTTACATCTGAGGAATTGACCTGGCACTCTGAGGTGTGGGAGAACATGGAGACAGAGGTCTCAGAGACCCCGACAAGTCCCAGTACTGATGGGAAAAACAAACAGCCTGGCTGGGCTCCATTTTGTTCTTAGAGCGTTATTTCTCCTGAGAAGTGAAATACTAATTCCCTTTATGCGGATGCAACTTTGTGCAAAACCTTCCCACATGTCATTCCTTGGTTCCTTCCTCTTCACCCCTTGTGCTGAGGGCAAGACCAAATTTTATGTATACATCCACTGGGCAGTTAAGGAGAATAAGGCATACGTGCTTTACCAAAGAAGGAAATTGGTAGCAAATTAAAGGTATGAAACCTGGACCTCACCCTTCCCCTCCCCCATACCCCAAGGGGAACCCCCTCAAGGGGAACAGGCAACCTTGCTGGCATCCAGCCATGCCTGCCCCGACCTGGCAGTCAGACACATT